TAGAATTCTTGGTTTATTATTTGTTTGTATGTTGAAATAGGGTCTCACTGTGAAGCCTGGGCTCACCTCAAACTCACAGTCCTCTTGCCCCAGACTCTTGACTTTGTGCTCACAATTGTCACCACTATGCCCACTAAGTACAATATATTCATATACATAGGTCTATGGAGAACAGTGTCATCTTTAAAATTGTCACTTACTATTTTTATTAATGTAGTGTTTACATCTGTCTACATGTTCACCATGTGTGTGTAGGCATTCACAGAGCTAAGAATGAATATGTGAGCTGTTGCCAGTGCTAGAGTGGGCTTTGGTGATGCAAGCATTCTTGAGTCATTTCTGTGCCTGTGAGTAACATCACCCCCACAGTGTTCCTGTAAGTAATACTGCAGAGGTAAAACCCCAATACAACTCATTTCTTCATCACATAGACTTGTGTGATACAGATACTTTTGTCTGTTATGGGCTCCCTCTCTGGAATTGGTAGACTGTGCTGCTTCTTACGACTACTTATGGATTTACATAAAAATCTGTCAACTATTAACAGGTAAGGCAAATAAAATAACTTTCAAATCCTTTGTAAAGAGCATATTTGTTCAATAAGGCTGATAATTCAGGAATCACAATAATTATAACCTCCAAAGTTCCTATAGACACCAACTCCTCAAACATCTGAGACTATAACCAAGATTATTAGTTCCTCTTGTTCTGAGTTTATATGTCCAGCAGCTGTGCTGTTACTATCTCATTTAGGAGGAATCATTTTGGGTTACTTTTTTTCTCAAGAGATCTCATTTTCTTCAATCTTAGAGAACATTCTTTCACTATCATATTCTTGGGGAGATAAAATTTAGTACATTTTACACATTGCATTTGGCTTGACAATTACATTGGTTGGACTCCTATCTCTAAAATACTAATAGAAACAGCTAAGTATTAAAAATTGCAGCTGGCAGGGGTGGTGCACACCTTTAATCCCAGCCCTCGGGAAGCAAAGGGAGATGGTTCTCTGTGACTTTGAGGCCAGCCTGGTCTACAAAGTGAGTTCTAGGTCAGGCTCCAAAACTATACAGAGAAACCCTGTCTCAGAAAAAATTGCAACATCTTGTACTACCTAGTGTATTTTGTAGAAAAAAATCACTTTGTTTGATATTGAGGAAATTGGTTGATATTGTAAATGGTGCAGAACAGATAAACAATCTAAACAGACCTATAACCCTTAATGAAATAGAAGCAATCATCAAAAGTCTCCCAAACAAAAAAAGCCCAGGCCCAGATGGCTTCAGTGCAGAATTATACCAGAAATTCAAAGAAGAGCTAATTCCCATACTCCTCAAAGTATTCCACACAATAGAAGCAGGAGGCTCACTGCCAAACTCTTTTTATGAGGCTACAATTACCTTGATACCCAAGCCACACAAAGACACAACTAAGAAAGAGAACTATAGACCAGTTCCCTCATGAACACTGATGCAAAAATACTCAATAAAATACTAGCAAACCGGATTCAAGAACACACCAGAAAAATCATCCACCATGATCAAGTAGGCTTCATCCCAGGAATGCAGGGATGGTTCAACATTAGAAAATATATCCATGTAATCCACCATGTAAACAAACTGTGAAAGAAAAACCACATGATCATCTCACTAGATGCTGAAAAAGCCTTTGACAAAATCCAGCACCCCTTCATGATAAAGGTCCTAGAGAGATCAGGGATAACAGGAACATACCTGAATATAATAAAAGCAATATAGAGTAAATCAACAGCTCACATTAAACTAAATGGAGAGAAACTCAATGCAATTCCTCTAAAATCAGGAACAAGACAAGGCTGTCCACTTTCTCCATATCTCTTCAATATTGTACTTGAAGTTCTAGCTACAGCAATAAGACAACAAAAGGAAATCAAGGGGATACAAATAGGAAAAGAAGAAGTCAAGATTTCACTATTTGCAGCTGATATGATAGTTTACATAAGTGACCCGAAAAACTCTGCAAGGGAACTCCTAGAACTGATAAACACCTTCAGCAAAGTGGCAGAATACAAGGTAAACTCAAAAAAATCAGTGGCCCTATTATATACAGATGATGAAATGACTGAGAAAGAAATCAGAGAAACATCACCCTTTACAATAGCCATAAACAGCATAAAATACCTGGGGATAATGTTAACCAAGGAAGTGAAAGACCTGTATATATCAAGAACTTTGAGTCCTTAAAGAAAGAAATCAAAGAGGATACCAGAAAATGGAAAGATCTCCCATGCTCTTGGATTGGTAGGGTCAACATAATAAAAATGGCAATCTTGCCAAAAGCAGTCTACAGATTCAATGCAATCCCTATCAAAGTTCCAGCACAATTCTTCACAGACCTGGAAAGACCAAGAATCAATTTTATATGGAAAAACAAAAGGCCCAGGACAGCCAAAACAACCCTATACAATAAAGGAACTTCAGGAGGCATCACCATACCTGACTTCAAGCTCTATTATAGAGCTATAGTCCTGAAAACAGCTTGGTATTGGCACAAAAATAGGCAGGTAGACCAATGGAACTGAATTGAAAACCCTGATTTTAACCCACACACCTATGAACACTTGATTTTTGACAAAGAAGCTAAAACTATACAATGGAAAAAAGAAAACATCTTCAACAAATGGTGCTGGAATAACTGGGTACTACTGGTATGCAGAAGACTGCAGATAGATCCATGTTTATCGCCTTGTACAAAACTTAAGTCCAAATGGATCAAAGATATCAATATAAATCCAGCCACACTGAAACTTTTAGAATAGAAAGTGGGAGATACTCTTCAACGAGTTGGTACAGGAGACCACTTCCTGAACATAACACCAGTGGCACAGACACTAAGATCGACACTTAACAAATGGGACTTCCTGAAACTAAAAAGCTTTGTAAGGCAAAGGACACAGTCAACAAGACAAAAAGGCAGTCCAAGGAATGGGAAAAGATATTCATTAACCCCACATCTGACAGAGGGCTAATCTCCAAAATATACAAAGAACTCAAGAAGCAAGTCTCCAAAACACCAAAGCATACAACTTTTAATATAAATCCTACTGAGTATGATCAGAGAAAAAGAATTAAAATAGCATTGTGTTTAAAAGGAACTTTGCAAAACAGTCTGGTCATTTGGGTGACACTAGCAAACACATATAAAAGACATCTATTTGATACCTAATTATTAAATTCTTATATGAATTTACTCTCCACTGGTAAAAATGTTAACCAACAGGATTGATGTTTTGCATTGCTCCTTATTGATCATGATTGATAAGTCAACATATAAACTATATACCTAGACAGACATAAAGAAAAAATTTATTTCTGTATATTGCTACTTTTTGTTTTTAGGGTGTGGATTTTTTTGTTTTGTTTTTTGAGATAGTAGAAGCCTAGTAAGACAAAAATGAAGGTGTAGAGATTGTTCTATGAATTGAATTTGTCTATGATGTTTAATACTCAAATGCACAAATACTAAAAAAGAAATCAGAATTCATAATCATTATCAAATAATCTATAGAAACTTCAAATTTACTGAAACTTACAGATTATGTATGAAGGATACTGTAAAGGTACTTTAATAAATTTGATTAGAATTGCATAACTTTACATGACTGTGAAATGCATACATGAAATTTTCAAAAAATATGCTAAACAAAGGCAGAATCCTTTCCTCTGGGATATGATGATGTTATGTGAACAATACTGACTTATGGAGAAGCGACCAATTATATCCACCACCACCATGTTTTATAGAGAAGACCAAAGTAAATTCATCCAATCATGTGGAAACAAGTTATATAAAAACACAATTTAAAAGTGTTGTGTTATTTTTCTTGGGTACTGCAATGTGAATTTTTCTCAGCATTATAAGTTTGGAATTTGAGGTGGATTGTAGTGCTTATCCTAAAGAATAACCCACCCTTATCCATAAGTTGCCAATATTGTACTTAAAGGATTTATTACTTCAGATGGGAGAAATATGATGCTTAGATGCACTAATGAGAAGTTTGTTTTATTATTTTACATTTCATATATTATTTGTAACAAAGCTTTCTAATTTGTAGGTTTAAATATGGCAATGTCTACTGACTCCTCTGTCTCCATAACACACCCAACGCCCAGAATTCTTCAGAATTTTGAAGGATTTTATTTCTGCAATACAGTATTGTACAGTGCACCAACTCTGAATAAGCTTCTGTATGGCTGATCTTGTTGACTCAGTTGCAATAATTAAATTATTCACCCAAAGTTCTGTCTTGTTCAGTTCTTTCAGACTATGTTTTCAATGCATTCAAATAGTGCCTAAAGCTGAAGAAATGATGTATTTGCTCAGTTTTGTTTAACAGTATCATATATAACAAATAGGAGCCTTCCATAATTAAAGTTTATTTATTTATTTAGTCAGTTACGTATTGTTTTCAAGTCAGGATTTCTCTGTGTAGCCTTGGCTGTTCTGGAACTTGCTTTGTAGACTAGGTTGGCCTTGAACTCATAGAGATCCTCATGCCTCTGTCTCCTATATGCTGGGATTAAAGGTGTGTATAACAGCTAATCCGGCATAAAGGTCTATCCCCCTTATCTCTTGTAGTTCTTAATGTAGTGCATCTCATAGGTACCTCCTAAGTTAACTTTAGATTGGAACCTGGCATAGTGATCTTTGACAAATGAGCCATTAATAAACATGAAATTCTCTTGCTACTGAAGTCTTCTACTATGTGAAGAAAGCAGAACTAAGTTGCCATAGACAGAGACCAAATCCCTAGACGGTTCGGGTGGCAGACATGTTAGTGAATCCCAATGGTGGTGGTAGATGACTGCACATTGATGACTTCTACAGCTAAGACCAGTTAAAATTCCCTGCTGAGCATCATACAAAGAACCATGTGAGTCATGAACAAAACACGAGTGTTCCAACATCAAATTATGGAATATTTATTATTAAAATAAAGAATACATGTAATATAACATAAGCAAATACATCTAATTCATATAGTATTCTAAATAGAACTCAAATAATATAAAATAGTAAAACAGAGGAGATATTTAGGAGACAGATTTTTCTCAGCTGTGAATAGATTGAAGGAGGTGTCAACTCATGCTTCTCTTGGTTTATTCTCGGTGGTTTGATTCCTTTGTTGAAGAATTCTGCTATATCCTTATGGACAGGATGCAAACAAAGTTGTAACAAATCCAGTCAATATTTTGAGAAAGAGTTTTCAGAAAAAAATACCGTGACAATAAGGGAAGAAAGAGGTCATATGTGGTTACAGGGATTCTAGTCTCTAATGAGGGAAAAAATTATGGACAGCTAGCTAAACGAGTTGGTCCAGATGGGGCCTTGGACAGCCTTTAGCAGTTGTCCCTTGTGCAGGACAGTGTGGTGTTCAATGGTCTTGCATCAAGAGGTTGTTCCATAGTTACTGTTGAAGGAAAAATATGTTATTTTAGTACAAATATCCTCTCAGACACTAGACTTACCTCAGTTCTTATTGAAATAGTTTCGAATACTTTCTAAAAAAACTAGACAAACACCATCGAGCAAAGAAATGTCAGGAATATGAAGATGAAAGAACTAAAGATGTATGACTTCAAGATGTGAATCTCATCTCCATTCTAGATAGTGAATTATTAACTAGTAGCCTGCTGTAGACCCCTGAGTATGCATGATGCTACCTGCTGACTTCAAAGAAATTTACTACACTCAGTGTATGATTTCAGAAATTTATTGTGTAATATGTCTTATTTAAACCATGTAGCAAGGTTTTGTTTTTGACATTTGATCTGTATTTGTGAGAAGCAAGTAGGGTCACTGAATATTTTCAAAGTAGCAACACAGTAAATAGTGGCCCAGGGCTTTGTTCTTCATAATGTTTGATGTTTTGATCAAGTAATTTTTTTCTCAAATATCCTAGTTCTTTCATTTATTTCAAAGAACTGTGCCCTCTTGTGTAGTCCCATGAACCACCAGGAGGTTAAAAGATAACACATGAGTGTAGTGACCAACTCACAGAGGATTCCCCTGGGTGTATGGATTATGCACATGCTTAGACTCCATTTTCAGTTTTGATTGAAAAAAGTTTAGTCATAAAATGGTATGTTCTCATGATTCCATCGGATTAGCAGCTACCTGGGTTTATGGATGTTTTAGTGAAGACATGTGCTTCATGCCAGTCTTTCATGTCCTTCTCTTCTGTCTTAGTATTTATGGCTCTCAATGTAGAAAGATGCTGTCAGAGTCACAAACCCACAGCGACTGCAATTTATTCTGCCACTAATTTATTCTGAAATCTTGGGTGCTGCACAAAACCTTACAAAGTTGTTCTTAATTTTCAGAGGTAGTATTATGGCAGTTGTGGTTATTGCTAGATTTTATAAAACATTTAAGACTTACTGTAGTAAATCTTCTACTTTAATATGATAAATGTGTTCCCATGTATCATAAGCTTCCCTACATGGAGTACAGTGCTTGGAGAAATGCTAGATGCTCAATAAATATTTTCAGTGGTGTATAGCAACTTATTTGAAATAAAACAAACCAAAATATGGGACATGTTTTTCATATATTTTGTTAGGATTAAAGGATTAATACCACATGAAAATTTTTCATGTTGAATTACTGAAAACAGAAATGAAAAGATGACAAAAATTTCATATTATAAGAATAAACACTGTCAATGCAATCGTGGTCAGGGAAGGAGAGCTCAGACTCGAGTGGAGTTGAAGGGAGAACCTGACAGGTGATGTGAGGCAGAGTTCACAGGTCAAGCCCATTGTGCCCGTCTTCATCCAGAAGGCAGCCTCTTTGCTTCATCCAGTGGAAAAGACAAGAATGTGTTTTCCTCTCAGGCTTGCCTTGTATCTATCAATAAAACCTAAATGGGGTATTATTTTCTCTAAAAGAGAAATCTTCCCAGCATTCTCTTCCCTAGTCATGGGGTATCTACTGATTCTTCCACTTAGAGAAAGGATTTGAAAGTGTTGTATTCTTTGAAAACAATCTGGCCACAGAAGAAAAAACCCAAAACGATGCTTACCAGAACTGTAGCAGACAGTTCACCATCTTCACCAGTGTCCATGACGGTCCTTCCAAAACGTCCAGTGTTTGGTCCTGGTGTGTCCAGACGAACATAGTCAGGGCCTCGCCGAAAAATCCAGTTGATCAAAGAACATCTTCTTCTAACTGTTTTCTCTGAATCTAAAAAGAATGAAGGTCATTATTTGTAGTACTTTGTTGATGACCCAACATGGGTCTATAATGCTTACTTAAACAAGCTGCATATATCAAATAATTTTAAAGCAAGCAGAAGAGATATGGCATAGAAGATGTGGGAAATTTTACCGAATATCTTACTGCTGGTCACTTGTCTTTTCTGTATTTACCCTTTACATGAACTCACCTCTCTGTTCAAGGTACTAGGCAGCAGAGTCTTGACTCTGGGAACCAATACTAAGTCAGTTACTCAAAGCTCCAAATAAGTGTGTTTCCCTTGGAATGGACTTAGAAGTCAGAAAATTAGTAATGGGTGATAGGGAGAAATTTAAAGGCAGAGGAAATAGAATACAGTGTTATAAAGGGTTTCAGGAAGTCGGATTTTTATATTTGTCATCCCTACCCCCAGCAATCTGACCTCAGCTACTGTAGAGTATGGTCTGCCTTAATCTCTGGTTTAAGCTGTAGTGTTGGTTGATGGGCAAGTCTGATTCACAACCCCACCCTCAGTAACCCTTAGGGTTTTTCTAGATCGTTTCCTTTTTGTTTTGTGATTGTACTACAATATACTATGGACCATGAATTCAAAGTGGCCAACAGAGGGCACCCTTGACTTCAACCTCCTTTGTGATTTAGAAAATTCTTGCATATATATCCGAGGCACATTGAGGGCTGAGCTCCCTTACATACAGGAATTCTGGGGTTCTTGCTCCTCCCTTCCTCTGTAGTCAGTGCTCCATGGCTCAGGTTCTGCTGCTCAGATTCAAAGAGCCCTCAGATGTGCTTCCTCATGGAGACACTGACCCTGAGCCTTCAGCCCTGAGTCCCCTGAAGTTCCTGCTTCTCCTCAGGGACCCCTGCCAGCCCTGTCCTCTATACCTCCAACTTCCTCCTACTCTGTCCTCTCCCCAAACCTGCAGCCCCAATCCCTTTATCACCTCTTCCTGCTTCTAGACTGGAACCCAAATGCTCCTCCTCCCCCTGCTGCCCCTCTTTCTACTCTGACTCCTCTCAGTGACAACTCCCTATGTGACCGCCCTCCCCCACCTGCACTCAGGATGTTCCCTCTGGAATTCCTCTCCCTAATTTCAGGTGACACAGTGATTTGCCCCTCCAGTGACCACACACATATGGTCCCCCAAAAGACCCCTGCTTGCCTCTGCCCCCTCTGGGAGGGTGCTAGGGTAGAGAGTGTCCTCCTGGACCATTTTCCCTGCTCCCTCCAGTGTCTTGATAACAGGAAACAATGGTTGGGCTATTTCTCCTTTCATCCCTTTTGCATACATAAGAGAGTTCAGTCAATTTACTCAAATCAATGGATTATCCTGGCACGATCTTTGTCTCATTGTGTCCTCCACTCTTACAAATGGGAGCTTGAAAGAGTCAGGCAGTGGCCACACAGCATGCAGACTTAACCCAATTGGCAGATACTAGGACTCTGGTGATTAGATGCTGTCCCTTCCCAGAACCCTGCCTGGGACTACCAGAAGGGACATGAGGACCACCAGAGTAGTGACATTATGATTCACTGCCTCCTGGAAGGCATGGAGACATTTTCTAATAATGTAGTTAACTTTGACAGACTCCATGAGATTACTCAGCAAATGGATGAGAACCCAGCACTTTTTCTTAACTGAATTCATGAGGCCATGACTCAGTATACCTGCCTTGACCTGGCCGCTCCAGCAGGGGCCACGGTTACTGCCTTCTCAGTTACTTCCCAATCAATTTTAGACATTTGGACAGGCGGGGGACAGGGACCTCAAAAAGATTGAAGATGGCCCCCAAACCCCAACTCAGGAGATATTAGGACATTGGTGACATGTTTTTAGGCTCAGTACTCAGGACACAGAGGCAGGTGGATCTCCATTAAAAAGAGAAAACCTGGTCAGGAAAAGCTAAACAAACCAAATCAACCAAGCAAACAAAACAAGACAAAAGAAATAAAGAAACTCAGAGACACTGATTTCAAAAGGAACACACAAATTAATAGGAATCCAGTTTCACTTTCCAAATGTATCTAGACAAATATAACTTTGTATCAATAGGAAACAGGCTATTCTTTCTCTCTTATTTAAAAATGTGATCAGATGGCTTTACATTTGTTGGGGAAAGAGATTTCTCTTACTGGGGTCTTTTGTTTTCTCTGACTTTCACATTATTGGTGGAAAATGGGAACAGAATAACTAAAGATCCTGTAAAATTAAAACCTTGAAGGAAGGCAAGAGACTCACGGCTCTGGTCTTTGGGTGGGTCCTTGGGCTTCAGGATGAACAGTCCTAGCTTATGTGGGGACTGCAGCTCCTGGATGGCCTTGTTGATATCAAGATAATCAGTGTAATCTCTTGGCCCCACTGCCACATAGGTAGAATTTCGAAGGTCACTCATTCTGATGGCATATGGGTTCTCATGCCCTGTGTAGAGAAAATGCTAAATATAGATTAATGCTAACAGTGATGATGGATCAACAGACCTTTTGGAGGACGTAAACACACAGGGAAAAGAGCTGCAGGTCTCCTCTGGCTCCTGGAGTCGTCAGGGAAGGGACTCTAGAGAAGCAGGTGTCCAAACATGGACTTTTAAGTTTTAGAGACTAAAATTCGAACATGTTGCCTTGCTACATATGAACACTGGAGATCTGCTAGAGCCTTCTAGCTCTAGATTAATCATTTAGTCATGTGTCCCCTCATGTCAAGAGTTATCATCAAAGAAGAGAATATGAATTTCTTGTTGGTTCCTATCTCTTCAATAATAGGATAGCTCTGATCAATATTTTCTCCAACATGATTCCTGACAGGTTCATAGGGACAGCTCAGTTCCCTTGGTAAGTTCTGAAGCTGCCTTCTATAGTGCAGTGGAGTGGTTTTCCTTATGCTTTCCTTCCACTGCTTCCACCAGACAACATCCAGTGAAAAATAACAGGAATCAAGAAACACAGAAGCCTCAGGAGGCCACACTGACAAGACAGAAGACCATGCACTGTCTTGTCACCATTTCCATGTATAATCCTTTCTTCATCGTTTCATGCTCTTAATTACTTCCTGTAAAAGAATTCTCAAATGTCCTGTATGACAGATGGCTTTCACTTTTTACAGGAAGTCTCCTTTATTCCTTTCTTGTTACTCCCTGATGAAATTTGGAAGCTCTTACTTTTCCCTTCCTTGTAACACAGATGCAATACATTTTGGACAACAACTACACCAACAATGTTTTTCAACAGCAATGATCAGAGTCCAGGAAACTCCTATAGACAGATGAAGTAACATGCACACGTGTGGAAAGATAACGGTTAATGAAAACATGAGAACTGTGTTTGCCTTCAGAAGAAGCCTGTGCTGGTTGGTGCTGTGTCTACTTCACACAAGCTAGAGTCATTTGGGAAGAAGGATTCTCAATTGACAAATAGTCTTAATGTATCTTGCTGAAGGCAAATCTGTGATTCAATTTCTAAATGGTGATTATCTGTGAGCTGCATGGTTTGGGTCCTGGGACACTCTATAGGGGCTGTGAGGGAATGTAGTAAAGACTGACACAGAGACACATACAGTAAAGTTAGGGAATTTTCTAACCCTGCATGACTTGGACCCTAGGATGTTTGTTAGGTACAGCACAGGAATGGGGGTTAGCTATTCTCCCAGGAGGCCTCTGTAGGTGACCACTTTCAAGCTGTAAATGCATCGCAGGAGGAAGCTGCAGTTGCTAGTTTTGCACACCCTGGTCAATCTTTCAGAAACACTTGTATCAGACTCCCAAGAAAATCTGTACCATTTCCCTTGATCCTGTACATAGAAATAGACAGCTTGCTGAATATCCCATGTATCCAAGTTTTGGAATCCCCAACATGGTCATAGCCTTGTCCAGATGCACACTCAGGATTTCCCTCGTTCAGTGATTCCTCTGCTCCCTACATGATTGTTATGGGAGGGCCCATCCAGTGTGGGTGGTGCCTCCCTTGTGCTGATAGTCCTTGATGTTGTCACGCTATAACAAGAAGACCAAACAAAGCAATGTAGACCAAACAAAGTAAACAATAACCCGCCATGGCCTCTGCCTCAGCTCCTGTGCCAGGGCCACACCTTGTTTGAGTTCTTGCACTGACTTCTCAGCAGTGGACTGTTAAGAGGAAAATGAAAGACCCTTTCTTCTCCAAGTTGATTTTGGTCAAGGTGTTTTATCACAGCAATATATATCCTAACTAAAACAGAGCCACCATGGTTGACAGGTTATGAGGAAACCTCAAGCCAGACATGGTGCACAATGATGTTCTGTGTCTTGATGTCAAGATGACATTTTATAAAGTTAATAAACATATTAAAATAAATATAATTCCAGTTTCTGTCTTCTCTTTGCTGTGCATGTCTTGGGTACAACTTGTACTTTTAGATTGACCAGATATTGCTGCATGCAGAGATCTCACAGTATGCATCAATACATTGCCAGCCAGTCAGAGACTAAGTGTTTGTAGGGTCCACACCTCCAATTGGTATGTCTACAATACAATTTCTATACCTAAGGTCAGGTATCTTCTTGGGAGAGTAGGAAGAAAGCTTGTGAGAGCCAGAGAACCAGGAGCTGTTCTAGGAGATCATGTCTTCAGTGTATGAGAGGAAAGCTGCACACATGGATCTCATCAATATAATTGCCTAACCGAGTCTTAAGGAGTGGCAGCACCAATTGACTGCCACTGTAGATGGGGTAAATATCACAAGCACCTACCCTTAGATGGAGAGCTAAAGATAGTCAATGACTACTCAGAGGGAGAATCAGATTTCCCCTTGGATGAACCAAGCAAAAGATGGTTCCTGTGAAACACACAGCCATATGAGTAACACTAAATTTACTTTTTTCTCCCAGTCCTACACACACCTACACACCTACACACACACACACACACACACACAAACACACACGTATGCATGTGTGCATACACACAAACACAAAACTAAAGTCAATTTTAAAAGGTCACGAAATTTAAGGGTAGTGAGGAGGGTGCAGGAAGAGATGAAGGGGCCAGATGAAGGGATGGAAATGATGTAAATATACTGTTCATGTATGAGGTTCTCAAATGGATATAAATTTAAACAGATATCATCATATTCTTGGATGAGGGAAAGACTCACTAAGAGTTGTAAACATTGTTTAGATGTGTGAAAGAACATTTCATATGATGTTTTCTTTTATGAGTACTTAGCATAAGAAAATCAATGAAAACTTTAACAATCCAGGGTTACAAAGTTTTAACTCAGTCAAGTCTCCTTAGGTCCCTGAGATGCTTACCCAGGAGTGGGCTTGGTGTTTCTTCCTGGCTAGAAGAGAACCACAGTTGATAATCTTCCTCAGCATTCTGGAAAGCAGAAGAACCAAAAGTCATACTGTAGTTTTCCCAGTTCACAGTTGAAGTACATGTTTTCTTTCCTATTCTTCATCTCTAAAACTGAAATATATTGAGGAAGGCAAGAATTCTGGTCTATGTAATAGGAGGCTGTCGGTGAAAATTAACAGTGGTGAGTCCTTGCTCCCTCTGAGAATCTGCAGAGAAACCAAGTTCCTGCCTTCTCATTTCTGGTAGAACAGAATTGTCAATGCAACTTATATTCTTTCTGCTACATTTTTTGTGACACTGGGAATAAGAAGCCACTGCATGCCCTGTCTCCAAGCAACAAAAGTGTCTCTGTCATCTACGTTCCTATAGGCTTTGGAGAATGCTGTGTGTGCCATAACATGTTCCTGTCCGGACAACTTATTACCACAGTGACACATGTCTATGATGACGGAGCAACACTACACTTAGTAGCCTGGGACCACAACCACTAAGGTACGGGAGTCAAAGCCTGGAGGACTAGAACAATAAGTCAGCATTTGACCTTCATTCAGAGAATTCCCACCCTACAGACAGAAAGGACAAGTGTCTAACCTTGATAATGACCCAGAAGCAGAAAACAAGATCCACAACAGATTTACAGCTGACAGCTCTGGGATCCATTTGAAACAAACAAATATAAATTACGTATCATCTACTGAATTATGTCAGAGTCCACATGAGATACCAAAGACAAATGCACTAAGTAGGGTTATGGCTTATTAATAACTTACTTTTGATTCAAAATTGAAAATAATGACCTTTCATGATATTATGAAAATATTCATATTATGATAATATTCATATATTATGATAATATTCATGGTATCATTCATGATATAATAAGTGCAGTCTTACAAATGTATGTGTATTCACACACAAACACACACTAAAATGGAATGAATGAATGACCTATATTTGGGATTATTTTCCAAGTATGCTTCTCTATTTACCAGTTATTTCATGTTTCATCTACTAGATTCTTGGTACAAGTATTCAAAGGATATAGTTCTAGAGATAAATTCTGGTTGAAATTGTATATCAAACCTTCCATGCTCCAAATTATTGATTCACAAATACGTCTTTAAGGAATAAATCAGTATCAAAAATGTCTACATGACAAAGAAAATATGGGAAAATGGCACCAAAATATATTTAGTGGTTTATAATATCTACTTTATATCATGTTCATTGGATGTATACACACATTTACAAATAATTCATTACATATGCATTTTAATGTGCATGTATATATATACATATGTGTATGTATTTTCATGTGAACACAGTGTTTATTGTGGTGTAATGGTACAAATGTACTTCACATGATGATCTTTGATACCAAATTCACTGGAGAATACAAGAGCAACGACCATATTTAGACTAATGTAACATGTTAACTAACTTTACTTCTGAAAGTTGAAGATGAAAATTTTTCATACGTAGAGTAATCATGTATCTGGCAGCAATGTTTTTACACTTATTTAAATATTAATGATCACAAAAGATGTTGAATTAATAAAGAATTTTCAAGTCTCTTACAGGTATTCCCAGCAATGGTCGTAACTTTTTTGATGATATCATTCACTGTGTCCAGGCGTGCTGCTTTTACAGTGAATGACTATAGAAAACAGAGAAAAATGTTACTAATTAATAATGTTCATGAGGCATCTATTTGATAGCTATTTAATCAAACATTTTCTACATCCATCATGTAACCAAAGCTCAGTTCAGTTAATGGCAAAGTAAAACACATATAACAGTAGAAATATGAGTATGATTTTCCTTTGCTTTATATAACCTGAGGGCAGTAATAGGGATTGTAGTCTAATATGTATCTCTTTAAAGATTAGGAACAGTCAAAATATAATAAGATGCGCACTGGTGAATTGGATTATGGCTCATAGTAAAACTCTCAAGCCCCATTACACAAAATAGAATCCCAGAGTATACATGGTAGAAAGAGAGCAGCAATTGTGGCTGTCTTCTGAATTATACACCATGCACACATATAGGCATGCATGTGTATCAAGGTTGAACAATGGGATTATATTTTCAAAGAGACACAGCCTCTGATGGTCAGCTGAGTCAGCTTTCACAGTGGGAGGGTGTTCATTTGAAGAGATGGAGAAACATTTCCTTGTTTTCACAAAATGTGTTTATAAAACTGATTTATTTCATTGCATATCATGTACTCAGTTCTCATAAACTCATATGAAATGCCACAGAATTTAAAACAACAACAGTATGCAGTGGTGATTTCTCTGCACCTGGCTTCATTCTTAGTTTGTTTGGCTTGGGATCTATTGAGGTGATGAATGTATGAATACAGAGTGAAAGTTTGTCATTAAAGTTCTATGGTAGGCGATATCTACTACACTTTATAATTAGAAACCGTCCACAGAAAGAGAAAGATACGTCCAGAACATTGCTATTATACACAACACTCAGTGGACAAGAAAGCTAACTATGCTTACAGGTTTTTTTAGTCAGGTGGATCTGCACTTGCAGGCATAACCTCTGGAAAACAGCATATAGAGAAGAGAAACAGCAGTAATGACCCTCTCTATAAAGAGTGAACAGTGCTGAAGGGAAACACTTTCAGAATGTAGCTGTCTAACATTAATTTTGTGACAATGAACATGATGCACAATACAGGCTAAAAATAAAACTACGCCAATGAATCACCTTCTATTGAAGTCGTTGTGCAGTGGGGTCCCAGACACTCTGCAATATTAGGCTATTTTCATATTGTTTTTGGTGACAATTAAAAAATGAAAGGCAAATACCTATTTCTGAAGATACTGCATATTTCAGACATAAAGTGAAAGGGAAATGAAGCTGGCATTGATTTGGAAATTCATGCTTATTGTCTAAATCTAGTAATACTTGAGTTTGGGATACCTGATACTGGAAGACAACATCAATCTTCAGTTTAATCAAGGTGTGAACCCTGTAATCCACAATAATGTCTATCCTGGCAAGATAGGGTACTGGCGCAACCACATCTAAATAAAATTGACTTCATAAGATAATAAGGTGATTTTCTGTACACACACAAACACACACACACACACACACACACACACACACGCAAATGCTAAGCATAAAAGAATTTGCCATTACTGAAATCCAGCAGGAAGGAAAGTGCTTTCTTTCAGGAAGGTCTGCTCACCCCTGCCTCCCAGCTTTCTTGTACTAACTCAGGTGATAGCATTCTCCTCGCTATTGGACAGGATATACTTTTAATTCCCCCATTTGTCTCCTTTATTGCTATGTTGTCCAGTTTAGAGTTTGTATAGAACTAAGTACATAGAGTATTTACCATATTATGTTCACCATGAATATATTAGTTACCACGTCACACTGTTAAAACTTACAACCTCAGTTCTATGTATTTATATACAAAATCTAGAACATATGAGTCTCTTTATAGTCCCTCTAATTCAATAACTCCTGATGGTCTCATAGAAACGAAGACCTCCAGATTACCAACTCTTACATAACAGATAAGTGCAATACCTCACCCATCAGCAGACTTTTTTCTGGAAATAGAATAGTACTGAAGTAATGGATGGCAAAGGAATTTCGATGGGAAATTGAATTACATAATAGAGGTGTACCTCAGTTGAAGGGCTATTGTCTAGCATATGTGAAAGCCTGTGTTTATTTTCAACACTGCTCACATAATACACACACAAACATACAGGCACACACAAAAATCCACAACACGCAATCAAATGTTATTTTCAAGTCACAGATGAACTATATTTATAAAAATAATTTTATTACCCTTGAGAGATGCATTAGCATGTAAGATAAGAGAGCCACTGTGCACTTAACAGATCACACATATGCACAGATGCACACACAGACACACACACTCACACACTATTAACAAGGTGAGTAGAGATATGTCATTCATTGTAGTTTTTTAAACTTCTATATATGTTTATAACTATGCTCACATGAATTTTTAAGAAAATATTTAAAAGATGGAAGAAATAAATAATCGGTATCTTTAGAAGTTATGGCAGTTAAGATAAACGTGTAATTACAATGAGAAATATCGGCAAAAGTATTTTGTAAATACACGTCTCTCAATTGAAGTCACCAGGCACATTATTTGTTAAACATAGTGTACTGTAGCTAATATGGATCAATCCTGCCTGATAGTAACTAATACTCTTTTACATAGGCAAAACCATATTTGTATGTATGAAAATATTTTTCAGGCAGTACTACATAAATGTTCAATCTCTCTCTTTGATGCCATCCTGTTGTCAGTTATCAACCTTATCTTTAAATTTCCTCCTGCTTCCCCTCCCTTGCCCCTTTAATCCCCCAGTCAGCTTCACACAATGATAATATTGGTCTTTTGTGAACATACAGTGTTCCAGCTTGGGATGTCCTCTGTGAGTATCTCAAGTGTGATACTCTTTCCACTGTCTTTCTGCTTATGTTCATCAATGGATCTGGTCAAATCAATAAAAGAGAACATAAAAAAGTGAAATTGTCTCATTGCTTATTTTCATGGCAATAAAGGATATAGTATCAAATTTTTAATTTTAAATGTAGACTCAGTAGTAATTTTTGCAAAACAGGGCATGTTCTATGAGATATTGGGGTGCTCTAAACTGGGGTAATATGTGACAATTTGGTATCAGATTTTGCTCTGAAAACATTAGTTCCACCATTAGAGGGCTCAGGAATATTCAAGGTTCAAAACCAAGAAGCAGTATTTCCTTCGAGTGTACATAGTAAAGTAACTTGTATTGATAATGAATTAATATTATGTTCCAGAATACAGTTTTATCCAACATAAAATTTGGAGAATGATTTTAGCCAGTCGTTCCTCCAAGTTGGAAAAGTGACAAACTCCCAAAATATCTAGGAAACATTAGCAAGAAGATAATTGCAGATGGTCTAAGCCTGATGCAAAAATGAAATAACCAAAAAGGAAATGAAAGACCAACATTTCTGATGAACATAATTGCTAAAGTTATTAATAAAATAATTGCAAAGAAAATTCAATAACACAGATAGATTTTGCATTATGTTCAAGCTGACAATATCATCCCAGAGATGGAAGAAAGGGTCACATATGTAAGTTAAAAAATGTAATCCAATACAAACATGGACTAAAGGACAGAAAATGATCACCCCATTTGATTCACAAAACACCTTTGAGAAAATAAAGCATCTATATATGATAAATGTCTTAGAGCGAACAGGAATAGAAGGAATATATTTCAACATTATAAAGGCAATATACAGGGAACCCACAGTCAAAGTAATTCTAGAAAGAGAAGAAACTCCCCACGTTTGTGCTAAAATTGGAAGCAAGACAAGTTCAGTCGTCTCAGTTTTCCTCAATATATATATATATTTTATAATACTAGTTAGGGTAATAAAACCAGTTAAGGAGGTGAAGGAGATACAAACAAGAAAGGAAGAAATCAAGACATATTTATTTCCAGATGATATAATTCTATGCAGAAAAACCTAGAGCACACAAATATTCCTAAAGCTGATAAGTATTCAGAAAAGTAACAGGACACCAAACACAACAGTCAATATCCTTTTTATATACCAATGACAAACACAAGAAAAGAAATGAAGAACCCAATTGCATTCTCAATAATCACATAAAATTTAACTAAACTTTGAATAGATCTGGCCAAAGAACTCATACATTTGTGAATGAAAACTTAAAACCACTGAAAAAAGTAAATGAGAATACCAGCACATAGAACGACCCCCCATACTAATGGATTGGCAGGGTTACATTGTGAAAATAGCTATGCATCATGTTTGTAATGCATTTGCCTTCAAAATACCAAGAATAAATTTCACAGAAATTAAAAGTCATTCTTGAATTTCATGTGGAATACAAATCACTGAGGATATCCAGAACAAAACCAAATATTAAGCATCATCAAAACAACAAACATGCTGCTGGTATCACCACAACAGATCCCAAGTTATGCTGCAGTGCAATTATACATACAATATCGTACTGTCTTAAAAACAGTCACTCATTAAATGGATAGAACTTATGTCTTCATGTGAACCCACAGTCCAATAGTGAGGTGATTTTCTTCTTTAAATTAGTTAATAAGCTTGCTTCATTTGTCAATCCCAGATCCTCTCCCTCCCCTCCTCCCCTTCCCCCTGCCAACTCCCCCAACCTCCCATCCATTCTCCACTCTACTCTCCAGGGAGGGTGAGGCCCGTCATGGGGCATCTCCAAAGTCTGTCATATTGTTCAGGTCAGGGCCTAGGCCCTCCCCGATGTGTCCAGGTTGAGAGAGCATCCCTCCATGTAGAATGGATACCTGAAGTCCATTTGGATGCCAGGGATAAATACTGATCTAGTACATGAGGTCCCAAAGCTTGCCAAGGTCTCCAGTGAGGTGATTTTTGACAAAGAAGCCAGCCATACATACACATTGGAGAAGATACACCATCTTCAATAAATAGTGCAGTTGAACTGAGTTGCTACATGTAGACAAATGAAATTTGGTCCTTGTCTCTCAGCCTACACAAAACTCCCCAATGCCCTGCATCTTATAGATGAGAAGTTAAAAAATATATGCAAACTCATTGACACAGGAAAGCACTTTCTGAACAGAGTGCCAATAGCGCAGACATAAAAACCAGCGACTCATAATTGAGACTCATGAAACCGAGAAGTTTCTGCACAGTGAAAGTCAGAATGATTTGGGCAAAGAGGCAGCCTACAGAGTGGGAACTGTCTTCATCAGTTGTCACAGGGCCAGTGTCTAGACTACAAAGAACTAAAATATAAGATAAAATAAACAAAAGGAAATGACCAAACAAAAATGGGGGTATAAGACAAAAAGAGCTCTCCAAAGATGTCATACAAAGAAAAGCACTTTTAAATTTTAACATTAGCCAACTAAAAAAATAAAATTTAAATGTATTTTGAGTTCCATTTTACTTCAATCAAGAGGGCTTAGATAAAAACTTCAAATGATGGGAAATGCTAATGCAAATGTTGGAAAATGGGGACATTTATTCGCTCCTGATGGGAATGCAAACGTATTTGCCTACTATGGAAATTGGTGTGTAAGTAGCTCAAAAAGAAAGAAATAAACCTACCACATGATCTAACTATACTATTCTTTCATATAAACCCGGCAGGCCCCATGGCAGGGAATAATTGGCCAATACAAAACACACTCAACAGTAATTTTGTGGATTTTGTTTCATTTTACTTCGTTTTGATAATTTGCCTTAATTGCCATTTGTTTGTTTTGATTTTATTGATGTAGTAGGGTGTGCATATCTATTTTGGCTAAAGTGATTGTTTCTTGGTATTTGGTTGAACAAACCATACAGTTTTGAAAGAGAAAAAGGACATAAAGCTGAGTATGTAGGGAGAATCTGGGGGAAAATGGAGGAGAAAACATGACCAAAATGTATTATTATGAAATAGGACATGATGTTTGATCAATAAAGAAAATGCTGGATCTGGGAAGAGGTGGGGAGGTAAATTTTTCAATCATATACTAAAAAACTTGAAATTCTCAATGATATAGAAAGAAAACTGTGAAGAGACTAAGGTGTTGGACAGCAGAGAATCTTATTCTTTCAACACGAAAAAAGAAGTAAAAGCTGTAATTACAAGTAAGTTACCTCTGAAGCACAGTCCACCACTCTCTCTTTTTGACTGAGGAACTGCAATATAAAAAGTAAGAACTTAAGGTAAGTGAAGTATTAATTGTTAGATTTTAGGGTATGTATCATGACCAAAATATTATTGTCCCTTAGTTACCAATATGGACAAAGACCTAAGAAGTCTCCTCATGTTAGGGTTTCTGTTAGAACTTGTCCTTTATTGGTTACCTTGCAGTGATGGCAAGCCACAGTGTGATCAAAGCTATGTAATCCCAGGCAGTAAGGCAGCTTCTCTAGGTTTCAGGTTCCCACAGTTAAAGGGGTGACTGTCTCAAAGCAGTCTCACTGTGGAGTAGTTTTCCAAATACAAAAACATATTGTTTGTATGAAATTACATCATACTTCAGGAACTTTAAATATGGATGGAAGACTTGACTTAAAAACAATATAACTTAGAAAAACAGCAGACACATTATTTTACTTCTTTAGGCAAATCGCAGAAACAGATTATGTTAAATAGTTTATGATGTATTCATTCTTCACATACTAATACTCACACCAAGATCAATTTACATGCCGTATGCTGTATTCCTGATCACCTGTAAGCTACTTTATTACGGATCTTAGTACTGGTAATAAAATTTATTTATTTATTTATTTATTTATTTATTTATTTATTTAACTTTTTACACATATTACCATCTCCCTTCGGCTCCCCAGGCAGGGTAAGGCCTTCCATGAGGGATTTTCAGAGTCTGTCATATAATCCCGGGCAGGGCCTAGATCCTCCCCTTGTGTCCAGGCTGAGAGAGCATCCCTCCATGTAGAATAGGCTCCCGGAGTCCATTTGTATGCCAGGAATAAATACCAATCTACTTTCTACGTTCCCATAAGAATAAAATGTTTTGAGAATAAACTTGTACCTAACTTTCTTCCAAGTGGGTTGAATTCCATACAGCATATAATTGATTCAGAGTGACACTCTATGTTCACTTCCAATAGTGGTCGCTAACAGGATTATGCTAGGAACACCTTCCTTGTCATAAATTATCCCTAAATTAGTTCACAACTCCCATTCTTCTCCTACACTCCACTCCATATTTCCTTTATGCATTCAATGACTGAATATTTAATTTCTTGCCTCGTTTTGGAAGTTGTGACTCATGATGTGAGTTAATTTTTTTTCCATACAGGGTTTCTCTATATTGTCCTGAAACTCACTCTGCAGACCAGGCTGGCCGTGAACTCACAGATATCTGCCTGCCTCTGCTTTTTGAGTGCTTGGTTTAAAGGTGTGTGCCCACCAATGCCCAGAGCTGTGAGTTAATTCACGTACTTTTGTGTTGCAGTACAAAGTCATTTTCAGAGGGTTACATGGAGGTGGAGCTGTCAATTCATGGAGGAAGTTTGTTTAATTTTCTAAGTAACTCCCAGGCTTCTTTTTTCCCAAGGCTATCACATAATTTGTTTGAATTACCAGCTGTTTCTCCAATTTCCACCAGTGTTATAGAGTAGACCTAGTTCATCTGATGTGTTAGACTATCCCTTTAACTCCCAAAATGTACATGTACATGGCTACTACATCTAACTATACCATGTGTTGCAAGTGAAATAATAGCAATATGAAATGCAATGGGTGACAGGTATGTTTCCAATGGCAAAAATTCAGTTATAGTTGTATACAACCCAACCGTACATATAGAAAGATGATATTCACAATTTAAGAAAAATTCTTAAACTCTCTCTCAGACACTTCAAACACTTTTAATGTAAACTGCTTTATGAATTGTCAAAACTGAAAAAGAATCAGAAATTAAAAAGCTAGTAGGTGATTCTGATATGAAAAAGATATGCAGGTTACATCACATTTATGAACATCTCACTAAAAAGGTCTGTAAATACTTTCTTCAGGTCAACAACTGAAGCAGCATTTCATAAGGTTACAAAACATGGAGACATGTGTGCTAGGTGACTGAATTCAGATGAGAGCTGAGGTCTGAGCAGAAGAGAGAATGAGAAAGGGTGGGTATCAAATGCACAGGATGAACTTCTCTTGTGGAAATGAGAGCAAGCGCTGCTGTGTCGTTGTCCAGAGCAGCAGGTCTGGTCAAAGAATTCGATTGAGTGCAACGGTTCTCCTGGAGAGCTTCCCAATACATGGAGATCTTCCATATTTAACTCCAGCCTGAGAGTGTGAACTAGGTAATAACGTATGTCAGACAAGTCACCTCTGACCCTGATGGTGTAATGACACCAGCACTCCCAAGATGTCTGTAGACACTAAGACAGAAGACCTGCTAAACAGACACATAGGGATGACAGATTTTATATTGTAATTATATTCTTATATAAGAACACAATGTTCATTTTGGTGTATAAGAGGAAATTTTCAAAACTGCTTGCCTACTCAATAGTATTAAAACACATATTTAGGTAGTTTTAATGCCCAGATAAAATCAGATTATGATTGGAATAAGAAGATGGCAAGGAGGGGAATTACCTGCTCACTCGAATTCTTTCCACAATACCTTAGACCCCTCTCATCACTGACACAGAGGAGCTTGAGATCATGACTGACGAACCTTGGATACGTATCATACGATTGACACTAGCATTACCAACTATTGATCCATTTAGACTTTTTATGGTGGTAATTCTCGGGAGTAAATAATAGGTAAGCGAGTGCCAAAGCATCAGGTTAGAAAGACCTGACAGTGTGTTTGTAACCAGATAAAACTGATTTCTGTCCTTAAATGTTTTAGTAAAAAAAATTTCCATTGACATTTTCCATTTATGTTGGACAATATGAAGTCGACGGTGTCATTCCACAGTCAGCTCACGCCAGCACAAGACCAAGCTATGGGTCTTACCGAAAGGTGGCCACAAAATTCTCCATGGGCCATCCCAGGAGAATGGATTTCCTGGCCCGACTGGGGCCTACAAAGTCGGTGACCACACACTCCCCCATCCACAGGGTACTCAGTGGGATGATGTATTTTATCTTAAAGTTTATCTTACACCTAAAAGAGAATTAAAGAACATTTATTAGTTTGCTTCTGAAACAAAGGACCAGTGGGGTTAACAGAAAGTCCTAATTCTTCCTTCTCCAGACGAAGTAGGACTCTCCCATCTCTGTTACTGCAAACACAGCTCAGCAAATGGACAAATGCACCTTAAGAAAGCATAGGTTGATAAAAGCCTTCCTAGGGTAGGTTCTGAATGCATCTTTTCCATGCTTACAAACATGCATGGCCTGTATATTCAGGATGTCGAATGCTGCATATAAATTATACTGTGTAGTTGAAACAGTGCTTTGGAATTTTTCATAGGGAAATCTCATTAAAAAACTCTTATTTTAATAAAATATTTCTTAAAATTTACTAAGTAAACTGTGTTAATGCAAAGGACACACACTCTGTTCTTACTGGACACTTGCCTCTTCTGAAAAACCTTTGAAAATATTTAATCTCTAAATAACATCATGTGACCTCTATCTGCCCCACTTTCTAGATCAGGAATTGTCATAACGGTTAATAGCCCAAGGTAACATAGACACTTTTTGGAGCCTGGCAATCTAATACTCAATTATAGCTCAGAACTGTGGGGTCTCTATGCCTTGCCATCTGCCTTGTGAAGTCTCTGGGTACACCACTCAGAAAAGTAAATCTCATGTGTGTAGCCTTGTCTCTTTTGGACAATCACCCTTTTTGTTAGTACTGTATGGTTATATTAGGAGTGAGGGTATAAATTACATAAACTTGTTACCAATAAGTACACCTACATTGGAAAGATGTAAAATTGACATGGCATTTTAGGAAACCCCTGCTCATAGGATGCCTACTGGCATCTTCCTCTTAATAACAGATCTACTTGACTATGATCATAACTTTCTAAAGTAATGGGATTACTGACATTTTCTCCTAATCACTGATGCTGCGGTAGAGTCTTGACTGGTTTTTCTACAGGAGCACAGCACAGTATAGGCCCTCAAGTGATTGTTGGATGGATAATGAGCAAAGACATTTGTAAGCAAAGAAAGGCAAACCCCTTTTGTTTTGTTTCACAGGAATGGATAGACACAATATAATCTTTGATAATCAGTAAAAAATGAGAATACTTACCGACTATTAGTCACAACCAAGAAGTCTCTGTACAAATGGAGATGACACTTCCTACTGCTACAACCTCTTCTGAGTTCCACTGGTCCATTGAACACCAGATATTGAATATTCTCCTCCCCATGTGCAACTTTCTCACTGAGAGTCTCCATTGCACTGGAGAAACTTTTCCTGGCAAGGCCAAACTCTAAGCAAACAGATAGTCAATAGTCAACAAAATAACCCAACACAAAAGTTGAGGAGTTACATGAAATTAATCATGAAGGCTCACTTCTTATAGCAGGGCTCCACTGATTAACAGTTTTTAAAAATATAGAATGGATGAGGACATTTGTAAGGACAGATTCGAGACCTGGAATTTGAAGACTAATATAGCTTGGAGGAAAAAGAATGAACAAACACATTGAGAGAAGAGAAATGGCCATATTACAAGTAGTGTATAGTAATTGTGTCTAAAACTACAGCAAGTCAATATATTTAACTCTTTAGAATCAGCCAATGGAGTAGCAAAATACAAGCCACTGAGAAAATGAAGGCAAAGACTACAATATCTGTAGAATGATAAGAATACTGGTGTCAAAAACCATGAAATGAGCCGGGCGGTGGTGGCGCACACCTTTAATCCCAGCACTCGGGAGGCAGAGGCAGGCGGATCTCTGTGAGTTTGAGGCCAGGCTGGCCCGACAGCCTCCAAAACAATACAGAAAAACCCTGTTTCGTAAAACCCCCCCAAAAGACCATGAAATTTAGAATTTTCATCAAGTATTCCCAAATCCCTAATTCTTCCAAACTATGAATATGTCAGTTGTGAGAGACATCATGTATCTGTCACTGACATCATCATCCTGAATCCCATCAGCTCCATTCTCGTCATAAAGATACTGTAAATCATAGTGATCTATCCAGTTAAAGTCACACAGATGTCACTATAGGGATGTCAGATTTGAAGAATCATATGTAGTCAACCTGCGATTGTTGTCTCAAGTGGAATTGAAAGAACGGGAAGAACTACAGCTTCAGTGAGGAAATCACCGTCCTCAGATGAGGTAAGAGGTGACTGTCGCTTGCTCCTTTGTCTCTCTGATCTTTCAGCATTTACCCCAATATTTGGCTCTAGGATTTTGTTATTAAGATCAGTTGTGATTCATGCTACATGTTTACGTTTGTATACACACCATCATATGTTTGGAGAATGTGCTTTTAGCTAATTTTCTATTTTCCATTCCTCAAGAAAAACTCACATAAATATACTACATTTACAGAGCAAGTACTGAACCAAAAGGGAAAAGGAGGGATGAAAAACAATGGTTGTCCCCCACATAGAATAATTTGGGAAATGGTGTAAACAAGTAGCTTCAATTTTGTTACATAAAAATTCAAGTGAATTAGGATGCTTGCAAAGTCATTCCTATCATAGCATTGCTCAAATTTTGGAAAATAGTTGCTGAAGTACAGCAAATAATTTTGGAAACATCAAATGATTCCTGAAAACGAGATAGTTTGTAGAACTTTGGATGAATGTGACCACTATCCAGCAATACTCGGTGGTCAAAATAGTTAAGAAAACTAGACTTAGTAGAACATAAATCTCCCCATAACTCCAACAGCCATTTTAGGAGATCGAGGAACATTTTCTTCCCATGTAGTTCAGAACATTCCTCCCCTGACATAAAATGTCTTTCTTATTTAAGGAACAGCACTGAACATGATTTCCTAAATAGTTTTTCACAAAACTAGAGCTGAAGTGTATGAATTAGTTCACACAATCTGGAGGAATCAAGAGAGGACATCTGAGATCACCAGTCCATCCTAAGGATCAAAAGTGGAGAGTAGAAAAATACCTTTTCAGCAGGGCCTGGAATGGAGAGCCTTTCAATGGCTTGAAATTCTCTTTTCTTCCTGGCACTAAACACCAAACACAGATACAGCAGTTGGCAGACCAACTACTGAAGTCTGAGGAGTCTGCAGTAGTCAAGGTGACTGATACTGTGATGTCAGAGTTCTGAGGCTCATGACATAACTGACAAAATGACATGTGCCTTGTGCTCATCTGTTTTTATCAAGATATATATTTTTAGATTAAAAACAGTTTTAGGGCTGAATAGAGATGCTATGACTACACAAATCTGCACAATAGAAATATTTCTATTCTTTCAATCAAAAGTAACCTGTAACTCCAAGCCCTAGTATTCTGTGATAATTATATATACTAGAGTACTTGTGATTGCTTACCATGCTAAAGTCTAGTCTTTTAGAATATTTAAAGAGTAGCCTATCAATTTGGTCTCTGGTCACTTTAACCTTGATTATGTTGCATCACATCAAATGGCAGAGATAGTTCCAGGATGCCTAGGAACCCTGTGTCTTGAAAAAGAAAAAAAAGTGAATTATATACTCAGTGATACTCTTTTGGAGAAATTTTTCCTGTGTGCATGGTTATTTATCACTTGAACATAGCTGTTGGTTTAGGGCTGGTTTTGAATCCACTTTCCCTCTCTAGTTGGGACCCCATCTGGCTTCGGCCTAAGCTGGCCTCTGTGTGTTGCCAGTGTCTGTGAGTTCATGTGTCCAGTCTTCCTGAAGTATTCGGGAGGCAGTGTTTCCTTGTTGTCCTCCATCCCCACTGACTCTTACTATATTTCAGCTTCCTCTTCTACCGGGATCCCTGTGCATGAGTGTGTGGACATCCCATTTATGACTGAATTTTCCAAGGTCTCTGACATTCTTCACAGTTTTCAGTTCTGGCTCTCTGTTTTTATTCCCATCTGTTACAGGACGAGTTTCTCCAGTGATAGCAAAGTAAGACACTGATCTATGAGTGGAAATGATGGAAGCTTTTTATTTTGAATTTATTTTTTTAACATCCTGTGTTGGGCCCCAGCCCCCTCGGGGTATCTCTGAGTTGCTGGTCAGCCAACAGGTGCATCCTGTTTTCTAGTCTTGACTTACTGCCCCAGCCTTGCTGCACTGACATCACCATCTAGTTGTGAAAACATGGTCCCTTCCACCTGGGGTTTTCCCACTGTGCTGTAAGTCTGTATATAAGACTGTTCCCTCTCTACAGAGGAGAGAACTCTTAGCACAAATGACTGGATGTCTTATCTTTCTTTCAGTTAAATCTCCAGGATCTCGCCTGATATATTAGACTCGGCCCTGGCTCAGGCACCACAAGTGGAGGTCCCACCGAGATCCAGAAAGAAAGAAAACCCCGAGAGATCACCCTCAAAGGTTAATGAAGGTGAATTGAAAGGGGTACCAAGTTACGGGTACCAAGTTAAATCTCCAGGCTTTCATCTGACACCAAGGTCAGGAAAGAAAGGAGAACCCAAGAGATTGTCCTTGGAGGCTTGCCAGCAGGTAAGGATTTGTGAGTGTGTATTGGAAAATGGGTACCTCATCTTCTAAGACTGTATTGATAGAACAGTTAGTAGAATTGTTAAAGAGACAAGGTACCAGCATTGAGCAAGAGACAGTTAAATATTTTCTTTTAACTTTGGAAAAGACAAGTCCATGGTCTTTACACTTGAGAGGGCTTAATATCCCTGACTGGGAACAAGTTAAAAACGAGCTCCAAAAGGCTCTTCTGAAAGAGGGACCGGAAAGTTTTCTATTGCCGCCTTTCTCTTTTGGAGATTAGTGAAGGTTGCCCTATTGAGTGATAGTGCTAAGATAAAGGACAGATGGCTAACCTTGAAAAAGCATTTTAAAATGCCCAGGAGGAACAGTTAGTAAAGAACTTCACATGTTTAGCCTTAAATTGTACTCCTAGTGATTGGCTACCATTGTGCCGGGCCACATTGCAAGGAGTGGGTACGGCTGCAGCTCCTGAGTGCAGCTCAGAATTTCTCAAATGGAGAGATGATGAAGGGCACACAGGACTTTTTACCACTCAACCAGTTATTACCACTCAGCCAGTGCCTCAAGAAATTCTGTTACTAGTAAGTCGGGAGATTGGACAGGACTGGAACATTTTTAGCTGGGGCCATTGTGACTAACCCTGTACCCATATAGCCTATTTCAATCACATTGAAACCAAAGCAACCCATGTGGGTAGACCAATGGCCCCTATCTAAAATAAAATTGGAAGCTGCTCATCAGCTGGTGCAAGAGCAATTGGAGGATGGAGATATTGATCCTTCCACCTCCCCTTGGAATACACCTATTTTTCTTATAAAGAAAAAAATCAGGAAAATGGCACCTGTTGCAGGATTTGGGAGAGATCAACGAAAGTATGACAGTCATGGGTACTACACAATGAGGACTGCCCACTCCGGTAGGTTTTTTTTGGGCATTGATTAAAAACTGGTGTTAATCCTCAAAAAATTACTTTAAGACTAGATAAATCCTTTTTAGTCTTTTCCTCCAGCCATGCTCCCACTGGAGTCTTTTGGTAGACTGGACCATGTCATTGGGGACATGATCATTCCTCTCCTTCCAAGGCAGTTATACAACTTATTCATAGTGCATATAAGATAAGTTTGCAAATCTTTGACAAAGGTCCTGATGTTATTGTTACCCCTTACAACTCCTCTCAAATTGCCTAGCTACAACAGAATATTGACAATTGGAAATGGAAAGATGGTGAAGGCCATGAGGGCCTTTTTCAACCTTTTGTTTTAAGTCAAGGTATGGCTGGAGCTGTTCTGTCACAAGAGATTTCAATTAAGGAAGTTTTATTTCAACAAACTAATCATGACCTAGGGAAAAAGATGACAAAAAGATATGTGTATGCTCTGTGTGTATGTATCTGCCACACTGGTACATGTGAAATGTGATTGTAAATGTGTGAATGTTGACAAAAAGAACTGCTTAAATTGTCTTGGATATGATTAAAAGAATATTTAACTTGCTTTGGATATAGCCAAAAAGAGCATCCTGCCAGTCAATGTTGGTTGACGATTTGAGTCCTCAGAGCCTGTCAGTGGAAAAAATAACTGAAGCCTACAGCATGGCCTGAGAGACAAAGAAATTTGTATGGACGATTCTAGAGAGTTTACCAGAGGTGGACTTTTCCTAAATTTTTATGGTTGTAAAAAGAAATCTAGACAACAGATGGTGTTGGCATAACTGGGTACTGGTATGCAGAAGGCTGCAGATAGATCCATGTTTATCGCCTTGTACAAAACTTAAATCCAAATGGATCAGAGATCTCAACATAAATCCAGCCACACTGAAACTTTTAGAAGAGAAAGTAGGAGATACTCTTCAATGAGTTGGTACAGGAGACCACTTCCTGAAAATAACACCAGTGGCACAGACACTGAGATGGACAATTAACAAATGGGACCGCATGAAACTAAAAAGCTTCTGTAAGGCAAAGGACACAGTCAACAAGTCAAAAAGTCAGTCCACAGAATGGGAAAAGATATTCACTAACCCCACATCTGACAGAGGGCTAATCTCCAAAATATACAAAGAACTCAAGAAGCAAGTCTCCAAAACACCAAAGGATCCAATTAAAAGGTGGGGTACAGAACTAAACAGATAATTCTCAGTAGAGGAGGCTAAAATGGCCAAGAGATATTTAAGAAAGTGTTCAACATCCTTAGCCATCAGGGAAATGCAACTTTCAGATACCATCTTACTCCTGTCAGAATGGCTAAAATCAAAAACACTGAAGACAATTTATGCTGGAGAGGATGTGGCGAGAGGGGAACACTCCTCCACTGCTGGTGGGAGTGCCAACTCATACAGCCACTTTGGAAATCAGTATGGAGATGCCTCAGGAAAATGGGAATCAATCTACCACAAGACCCCAGAAATTCCACTCTTAGGCATAAATCCAAAAGAGTCAAATTCATACAACAAGAGCATGGGCTCCACTATGTTCATAGCAGCATTATTTGTAATAGCCAGAACCTGGAAGCAACCTAGATGCCCCTCAACTGAAGAGTGGATAAAGAAAATGTGGTACATTTACACAATGGAGTATTACTCAGCAGAAAAAAAATGGTATCTTGAAATTTGCAGGTAAATGGATAGCACTGGAAGAAACCATCCTGAGTGAGGTAACCCAGTCACAAAAAGACAAACATGGTATGTACTCACTCATATATGGATTTTAGACATGGATCAAGAGAGTGCCAGTCTGCACTTCCAATGACAGAGAGTCTGGGAAACCGGAAAGAACATAAAAGATATGCATGGTACCCAAGAGAAGAGAAATGAGGCAAGATCCTCTGAACAAATGGGGAACACAGCGAGGGGTGGGGGGAGGGGGATCTGGGCAATAGAGAGGGGGAGAAGAGGAAGAGAGAGTAGGTCACAGGGGAACAGGAAGGTTGGCTGGGGGGATAGGATGGGGGAAGAGGGAATCATGGGTTAGAAGACAGATCAGGCACCATTGTGACCTCTAGTGATCTAAAAGGATGACACCAATTGGCAAGCTAAGCAATAGTGGAGAGACCACCCTGAATGCCCATTCCTGATAATGAACTTGATGTCTATAACCATCCTGGAGCCTTCATCCAGTGACTGATGGAAGCAGAGCCAAACACCCACAGTTAAACACTGAACTGAACCCAAGGAACCCAGTGACAGAGAGAGAGGAGTGATGAGCAAATTGGCAAAGAATGGGCTGGCAAAAACTGCAGAGACAGCTGATCCGAACAGGGGATCTTGGACCCCAGACCGACAGCTGGGAGGCCAGCATGGGACTGATCCAGACCCCCTGAATGTGAGAGTCAGTGAGGAGGCCTGGGCAACCAAAGGGGTCCTAAGCAGTGGATCAATGTTTATCCCTGGAATACAAACAGCCATCGTGTGCCAATAGCACAAAGAGGGTTGCTCTCTCAGCCTGGACTCTTAGGGGAGTGCCTGGACCCTACCCTGAGTGAAATGACAGACTCTAGATATCCCCTATGCGGAAGGAATTGGCAATAGGGTGGGAGGATGGGGGGATGGCAGGGAGGGTGCAGGAGAAGGGGA